GGTAGCCCCGCCAGTGGCTTCCTTGTCCACCCGCGAGAGCCCCGTGACGCTTTTGGGGCTTCCTGACGCGACTCTGTCCCCTCCACGCGTGTTTATGCCCCTCTATAGGGTCACTCTGTGCCTCCCACGCCTGTTTTTGTCCCTTTAGAGTGAGTTTTTACGCCTCTCGCGTGGGCGAGAGCCCTCAACAAATACGGCGGACGTGGCTTCATGCGCATGCTGATGAGACTCCCCCCCCTTTGGCGCCTTTAGGGCTCCCTGATCCCACTCTGTCCCCTTCACGCGTGTTTTTACCCCTCTATTGTTAATTAACTCCGCTTCATGGCGGCAAGCACCCTCAACAAATATGGCGGCGTGTGGGCGAGCGCCCTCAACAAACATGGCGGCCGCAGCATGCGCATTGAGGCCAGAGAAGGCGCAGTGAGGGCAGGAAGGGCGGAAAAGCAGCGTCATGGTGAAGTTTGCGCATGCGCAGTCGGAAGGAAACCCGAGCCCTTCTATAAGAGGCCGGGAAGCCCCGTCGCCCCTCTTTTCCTCGGTCGGAGTCAGGACCGCCGCCATGTGAGCGGGGAAAGGGGGGAAAAGCGGGAATTCTGAGGGGAAAAGTGGAATTTGTGAGGGGGAAAATGGGATCGGGGGGTGAGGGGGAGTCCTGAGAGGGGATTTAGGGGGGTTCGAGGCCGGGGGGGTTTCGGGGAGGGGAGAAAAAATGCTTTGAAGGGGGAGTTGGTGGGACGAGAAGTGGATCCTGCCGGTTTTCCTGGGATTAATTGAAAGGGTTTGGTCGGGATTTGCAGGGTTGAGGGATTTGGGGAAAAGAAGGGAGCACAGTTGGAATGGGGGATAAAAACGTGGGAAAAGGGAGAGAAAACTGAGGGAAAGGGGGGATCCAGAGTGGGAATGGGGTAAAAACTGTGGGAAAAGGGGAATAAAATTGTGGGAATGGGGGGTCCAGAGTGGGAAAAAGGGAATCCACCGCGGGAAATGAGAGATTCAGAATGTGAAAAGGGAGAAGAGGAATCCACGGTGGGAAAACATGTGAAAAGAGTGGGAAAAGAGGGATCTGGAGTAGGAAACGGGGATAACAGTGGGAAAAGAGAGGGAAATGAGGGATCCAGAGCAGGAAAGGGAGGGATCCCAGTGCGACCCCGTTTTCCAAGCCCCTTCCCTGCCCCTTTTCCCACATTGATCCCGTGTTTTTTTCCAGCATGACCGACTGGGAGACGGCGCCAGCTGTGACCGAGACTCCGGATATCAAACTTTTTGGGAAGTGGAGCACGGATGATGTGCAGATCAACGACATCTCCCTGCAGGTGACCCGGAATTCTGGGGGACCAGAGGGGGAAAAGGGGAATCCAGAGTAGGAGAAAAGTGGGAAAAGAAGGATGCAGAGTAGGAAAGAGGAACCCAGAGTGGGAAAAGAGAAGGAAAAGAGAAGGGAAAAGGGGGATCCAGGGTGGGAAAGAGAGAAGGGAAGGAGTGGGGAAAAGGGTGGGGAAGGAAGTGTCCAGAAAGGGAGAAAAGTGGGAAAAGAAGGATCTGGAGTAGATAAAATGAATCCACGGTGGGCAAAAAAAGATCCAGAGTGGGCAAAGGAGACTCCAGAGCAGCACAACGGGCTTGTCTCTGTGTCCCTATGGATCGGGGAGGGTCCCTGCCCCTGATCGCCTGGAATTGCCGTTGTTCCCGGCAGGATTACATCGCGGTGAAGGAGAAGTACGCCAAGTACCTCCCGCACAGCGCCGGGCGCTACGCGGCCAAGCGCTTCCGCAAGGCGCAGTGTCCCATCGTGGAGCGCCTCACCAACTCCATGATGATGCACGGCAGGAACAACGGCAAGAAGCTCATGACCGTCAGGATCGTCAAGCACGCCTTCGAGATCATCCACCTGCTCACCGGCGAGGTGGGAATTCCGCGGGAATACGGGCAGGGGAAAAAAACCCGCCTTCGAGGTCGCGACGCACGGCTTCGGGATCGTCCGGGGGACGCGGGAATTCCGCGGGAACACGGGGGGAATGGGTCGGAATAATGGGAGGAGGCTCAGGACCGTGGAACGGGGCTTTGGGATCATCCAGCTGCTCACTGGGGAGTGGGAATTCCGTGGGAGTTGCTGGGATTCCGGGCGGGGAAAAAATCCCCTTTGCGATGGTGAAATGAGGCTTTGGGAGGTGGGAAAGACACGGGAACTGGGGGGGGTTGGGGTTCCAGGAGAGGATTTTTTTGGGGATCCGGGAGGGATATTTTGGGATCTGGAGGGTCTGAATTCCCAGTTTTTCCCCCCAGAACCCCCTCCAGGTGCTGGTCAATGCCATCATCAACTCGGGGCCCCGCGAGGACTCGACTCGGATCGGCCGCGCCGGCACCGTCCGGAGACAGGCCGTGGACGTGTCCCCCCTGCGCAGGGTCAACCAGGTACCCCAGAATTCCCAAAACTCCCCAGTCCCAGAATCACCAAATCCTGGGATCTCAAATCCCGCAATCTAGGGATCCCCCCCATCCCAGGATCCCAAATATTCCAATGCTGGAATGCCTCAATCCCAGAACCTCCACATTCTGGGACCTCAAATCCCCAAGTCTCAGGATCCCACAATCCCAGGATCTCCCAATCTGGGGGTCTCAAGTCCCACAAACCCCCTAATCTTGGAACCCCAAATCACCCGATCCTGGGACCTCAAATCCTGCGATCCCAGAATCCCCAAATCCCAGGGGGCTCCTTAACCCTGTTCCCAGAGGGTTCCTGTTCTCCCTGTTCCTGAGGAGATCCCATTATCCTTTCTTCTCCTTGTCCCCACTTCCCCCCAATCTCCCCCTCATTCCCGGTGTTTCCCATTCCAGGCCATCTGGCTCCTGTGCACGGGCGCCCGCGAAGCCGCTTTCCGGAACATCAAAACCATCGCCGAGTGTTTGGCCGACGAGCTCATTAATGCAGCCAAGGTACCCCAAACACCCCAAAACCGCCCCGAAAACCTGCTCCAGGCCTTCCCAAATAACTCCCAAATCCCCAAAACCCCCTAGAGCCCCCCCCAAAAAAAACCAAAACCGCCCCAAAAA